AATGCTTCCAGATGTTTCTGTGACCCTGAGGACTGTTTGTCTCGACAGGACGATGGCAGTAACGATGGAGACGCCCCGAAACCCATGGAAGGAGGAGGCAGCGATGATGAAGAGGAGCAGCGAAAAGGAGGCGGCAGCGATGATGAAGAGGAGCAGCGAAAAGGAGGCGGCAGCGATGATGAAGAGGAGCAGCGAAGAGGAGGCGGCAGCGATGATGAAGAGGAGCAGCGAAGAGGAGGCGGCAGCGATGATGAAGAGGAGCAACGAAGAGGAGGAGGCGGCAGCGATGAAGAAGAGGAGCAGCGAAGAGGAGGCGGCAGCGATGAAGAGGCTCGTCCTCGACCCGCCGACAGCGACAGCGAATCCTCTCCTCCGGTGAAACGCAGGATGAGCGGCTCAGAGGACGAGTCGCCCGCCAAACACACGTCAGATAACGAGGAGGAGGGCGGGGCGTCGCCTGCCGCCAAACACAGGGCGAGCAGCTCAGACATGGAGGAGGAAGAGGAGGGCAAGAAGAAGGAGGAGGAAGAGGAGGAGAGGAAGAAAGCAGACAGCGACTCGGAGAACGACAAACACCACAGTGACTCTGAAACAGAGACGCCTGCAAAACGCAAGGCGGCACAGATAGACTCTGAGGAGGGGGAGGGGGGGGGGACACAGCAGGAGGGGGGGGGGGGGGAAGTGGAAGGCTGTCATGCAGTCTGACAGCGAGGAGGAAGAGGAGGAGGGCAAACAGAAGAAGGATGGAGAGCAGCAGAAAGACGACAGTGAAGACGAGAAGCCAGGTAACACTCTGATACCTGTTATTCAAATCTAACTTTATTTAGAGAGAAGTGCTTCACAAACAGAACACGGATAAAAACAAAACGATATCCTTTCCAGGTAACAGAAACACAGCTTTGTGATTACAAAGAAAACCTTCACCAACGCACGACTGAGTACAACAGGAAGTAAATAATAGTTCAAGAGTCTTGAGTCATTTAGTGGGAACGCTGACGCAGCATTCCCACTAAAGTTCCTCTACGCACGGAATTCTTTATTATTCCTCCGGGTTATTCCGCCGCTCTTCTGCTCCCGCATTCCACATCGCAGGAACTCCTTCAAACATCAAAACCTTCAGTAATAAAGTCACTGATCATCTTGAACCCAGATGGTTTTATTTTAAACCTGCCATAACTCCCAAACCCTACATTCCTGAGACAGCTGTCAGTGCGCCTCTCCAGTTTGTGATTGGTCAAATGTTGCTAACCCCGCCCCTTTCATGTGAACGCGCACCTAGCTAGATAGGACACGGCTGGCTTGAGCGATCCACTTGATAACCCGCGTCGTAGGACCGTTTAGCGAGAGCGCGTATGTTTTGGATTAGGCCAACCGGCTAACTCAAACATATCTCACCTGGTGCTCTCCTCTGAGCTCACCTGGTGCTCTCCTCTGAGCTCACCTGGTGCTCTCCTCTGAGCTCACCTGGTGCTCTCCTCTGAGCTCACCTGGTGCTCACCTGGTGCTCTCCTCTGAGCTCACCTGGTGCTCTCCTCTGAGCTCACCTGGTGCTCTCCTCTGAGCTCACCTGGTGCTCTCCTCTGAGCTCACCTGGTGCTCTCCTCTGAGCTCACCTGGTGAATGTACCTTCAGGGTTTATTGACCTGTGTTTGTGTGTTTCTGCAGTGAAGAGGAAGAAGGCCATCCTGTCAGACAGCGAGGAGGAAGACGAGGAGAAGACCAACAAACCAGGTGAGGAAGATCTCTAACCCATCTTCATCAGGGGAGAAACCAGAGATCATAGTATTATTTGCCCCTTCGTTCACCATGTAAAGCGGCCTTGGGTCCCTTGGAAGGTGCTCTCCATGTGTAATCTAGTATTATTGTTAGAGCAGTCTCTCCTTAGTCCCTCTCACGCCCGTCCACACAGCGGCTTTGGAAAAAGCTTGCCGGCCGGCGTGTCTGAAGCTCGACCAACAACCAATCACATGAATCTCCCGCCCCGGACACACAAGCAGCGGTTTGATTGGCTAGAGCTTGTACTGGCATATGATTTGATTGGCCGATGATGATGTCATAGCCTCCTGTGGTGATGATGTCATAGCCTCCTGTGATGATGTCATAGCCTCCTGTAATGATGTCATAGCCTCCTGTAATGATGTCCTCTCCTCCCTCTGCGCCTCCTCACAGTGAAGAGGAGTCGGGCGATGTCTGATGAGGAGAACTCGGACAGAGACGGCCATGACGACACGTTAGCCAAACTGAGGGAGCTGGGCTCAGACAGCAGTGATGAAGAGGAGGGGTCAAAGGTCACAGAGGAGAAGAAGGACGAGAAGGCTCTGTTCGGGAGCGACAGCGAATCAGGAGAGGGCGAGGAGGAGGAGTGAGTATCATAGGAGGAGGTGGAGGTGTTTGACAGTAGAAACAGCATGAATGTAGAGGTGATGCACAGAGCGGGGATTCTCTGATTCTAACCCAAAGCGAACCTTCTGTTTGTTTCAGGAAGATGATCGCTGACATCTTCGGAGAGTCCGGGGACGAAGAGGAGGAGGAGTTCACCGTGAGTTCAGACTGAAGCTCAGACGCGCTGCAGACTTTATGAAGTGTAATAACAACCTGTGTCGTCCTGCAGGGCTTCAACCAGGAGGATCTGGAGGAGAAGAAGGAGGCGCAGGAGGAGCAGCAGCAGGAGGACTCAGACTCTGACGAGGGGGTGGACCGCGGCGGGCAGGAGTGAGGACCCTTCATTTATCACACACAGCAGGGGGCCTTTTAGTTACACACACAACATCTAGAAAGGATGCATGGAAGCTGTATGTGCAGCAGTTTACAATAAGAAGGTAGTCGACGGGGAACGCTTCTCCAACTGGCTAGCAAGACACCGAGCAGGACTCTCCTGCACTTCAAAGAGTGTTCTGTGTTTGCAGCGTGAGCGTGATGTCAGACTTCAAAGCATTGAGAGTGTTCTGTGTTTGCAGCATGAGCATGATGTCAGACTTCAAAGCATTGAGAGTGTTCTGTGTTTGCAGCATGAGCATGATGTCAGACTTCGACGTCATGCTGGCGAAGAGGAAGGCGTTGAACAGCCGGAAGCGCAGAAACCGTGACGGAGGAACGTTCATCAGCGACGCCGACGACGTGGTCAGCGCCATGATCAGCAAGATGAACGAGGCCGCCGAGGTACCCGCCACAATAAGAGCGTGCCCGCCACAATTAAAGCCTCCCCGCCACAATTAAAGTCTCTCATCGCCACAATTAAAGCCTCTCCCCGCCACAATTAAAGTCTCTCATCGCCACAATTAAAGCCCCTCCCCGCCACAATAAAAGCCTCTCCCCGCCACAATTAAAGCCCCCTCCCCGCCACAATTAAAGCCTCTCCCCGCCACAATTAAAGCCTCCCCGCCACAATTAAAGCCTCCCCGCCACAATTAAAGCCTCTCACAGCCACAATTAAAGCCGCCTCGCCACAATAAAAGCCCCTCCCCGCCACAATTAAAGCCTCCCCGCCACAATTAAAGCCGCCTCGCCACAATAAAAGCCCCTCCCCGCCACAATAAAAGCCCCTCCCCGCCACAATAAAAGCCCCTCCCCGCCACAATTAAAGCCTCTCCCCGCCACAATTAAAGCCTCTCCCCGCCACAATTAAAGCCCTTCCCCGCCACAATTAAAGTCTCTCCCCGCCACAATTAAAGTCTCTCCCCGCCACAATTAAAGCCCTTCCCCGCCACAATTAAAGCCTCTCCCCGCCACAATTAAAGTCTCTCCCCGCCACAATTAAAGCCCTTCCCCGCCACAATTAAAGCCCTTCCCCGCCACAATTAAAGCCCTTCCCCGCCACAATTAAAGCCTCTCCCCGCCACAATTAAAGCCCTTCCCCGCCACAATTAAAGCCCTTCCCCCCCACAATTAAAGCCTCTCCCCGCCACAATTAAAGCCTCTCCCCGCCACAATTAAAGTCTCTCCCCGCCACAATTAAAGCCTCTCCCCGCCACAATTAAAGTCTCTCCCCGCCACAATTAAAGCCCTTCCCCGCCACAATTAAAGCCTCTCCCCGCCACAATTAAAGCCTCTCCCCGCCACAATTAAAGTCTCTCCCCGCCACAATTAAAGCCCTTCCCCGCCACAATTAAAGCCCCTCCCCGCCACAATTAAAGCCTCTCCCCGCCACAATTAAAGCCCTTCCCCCGCCACAATTAAAGTCTCTCCCCGCCACAATTAAAGCCCTTCCCCGCCACAATTAAAGCCTCTCCCCGCCACAATGAAAGCCTCTCCCCGCCACAATTAAAGCCCTTCCCCCCCCACAATTAAAGCCTCTCCCCGCCACAATTAAAGCCTCTCCCCGCCACAATTAAAGTCTCTCCCCGCCACAATTAAAGCCCTTCCCCGCCACAATTAAAGCCTCTCCCCGCCACAATTAAAGCCTCTCCCCGCCACAATTAAAGCCTCTCCCCGCCACAATTAAAGTCTCTCCCCGCCACAATTAAAGTCCCTCCCTGCCACAATTAAAGTCCCTCCCCGCCACAATTAAAGCCTCTCCCCGCCACAATTAAAGTCTCTCCCCGCCATATATTAAAGCTCCTCCCCGCCACAATTAAAGCCTCTCCCCGCCACAATTAAAGCCTCTCCCCGCCACAATTAAAGCCCCTCCCCGCCACAATTAAAGCCTCTCCCCGCCACAATTAAAGTCCCTCATCGCCACAATTAAAGCCTCTCCCCGCCACAATTAAAGCCCCTCCCCGCCACAATTAAAGTCCCTCATCGCCACAATTAAAGCCTCTCCCCGCCACAATTAAAGTCCCTCATCGCCACAATTAAAGTCCCTCATCGCCACAATTAAAGCCTCTCCCCGCCACAATTAAAGTCCCTCCCCGCCACAATAAAAGCCCCTCCCCGCCACAATTAAAACCTCCCCGCCACAATTAAAGCCCCTCCCCGCCACAATTAAAGTCTCTCATCGCCACAATTAAAGCCCCTCCCCGCCACAATTAAAGCCCATCCCCGCCACAATTAAAGCCTCTCCCCGCCACAATTAAAGCCTCTCCCCGCCACAATTAAAGCCCCTCCCCGCCACAATTAAAGCCCCTCCCCGCCACAATTAAAGCCTCTCCCCGCCACAATTAAAGCCTCTCCCCGCCACAATTAAAGCCCCTCCCCGCCACAATTAAAGCCCCTCCCCGCCACAATTAAAGCCTCTCATCGCCACAATTAAAGCTCCTCCCCGCCACAATTAAAGCCTCTCCCCGCCACAATTAAAGCCTCTCCCCGCCACAATTAAAGCCTCTCCCCGCCACAATTAAAGCCTCTCCCCGCCACAATTAAAGCCTCTCCCCGCCACAATTAAAGCCTCTCCCCGCCACAATTAAAGCTTCTCCCCGCCACAATTAAAGCCTCTCCCCGCCACAATTAAAGCCTCTCCCCGCCACAATTAAAGCCTCTCCCCGCCACAATTAAAGCCTCTCCCCGCCACAATTAAAGTCCCTCATCGCCACAATTAAAGTCGCCTCGCCACAATTAAAGTCCCTCATCGCCACAATTAAAGTCGCCTCGCCACAATTAAAGCCCCTCCCCGCCACAATTAAAGCCCCTCCCCGCCACAATTAAAGTCCCTCATCGCCACAATTAAAGTCCTTCCCCGCCACAGTTAAAGCCCCTCCCCGCCACAATTAAAGCCCCTCCCCGCCACAATTAAAGCCCCTCCCCGCCACAAATAAAGCCCCTCCCCGCCACAATTAAAGCCTCTCCCCGCCACAATTAAAGCCTCTCCCCGCCACAATTAAAGCCTCTCCCCGCCACAATTAAAGCCTCTCCCCGCCACAATTAAAGCCTCTCCCCGCCACAATTAAAGCCTCTCCCCGCCACAATTAAAGCCCCTCCACGCCACAATTAAAGTTGCCCCGCCACAATTAAAGCCTCTCCCCGCCACAATTAAAGCCTCTCCCCGCCACAATTAAAGCCTCTCCCCGCCACAATTAAAGTCTCTCATCGCCACAATTAAAGTCCCTCATCGCCACAATTAAAGCCTCTCCCCGCCACAATTAAAGTCCCTCCCCGCCACAATAAAAGCCCCTCCCCGCCACAATTAAAACCTCCCCGCCACAATTAAAGCCCCTCCCCGCCACAATTAAAGTCTCTCATCGCCACAATTAAAGCCCCTCCCCGCCACAATTAAAGCCTATCCCCGCCACAATTAAAGCCTCTCCCCGCCACAATTAAAGCCTCTCCCCGCCACAATTAAAGCCTCTCTCCGCCACAATTAAAGCCTCTCCCCGCCACAATTAAAGCTTCTCCCCGCCACAATTAAAGCTTCTCCCCGCCACAATTAAAGCCTCTCCCCGCCACAATTAAAGTCCCTCATCGCCACAATTAAAGTCGCCTCGCCACAATTAAAGCCCCTCCCCGCCACAATTAAAGTCCCTCATCGCCACAATTAAAGTCCTTCCCCGCCACAATTAAAGCCCCTCCCCGCCACAATTAAAGCCCCCTCCCCGCCACAATTAAAGCCCCTCCCCGCCACAAATAAAGCCCCTCCCCCGCCACAATTAAAGCCTCTCCCCGCCACAATTAAAGCCTCTCCCCGCCACAATTAAAGCCTCTCCCCGCCACAATTAAAGCCTCTCCCCGCCACAATTAAAGCCTCTCCCCGCCACAATTAAAGCCTCTCCCCGCCACAATTAAAGCCTCTCATCGCCACAATTAAAGTCGCCTCGCCACAATTAAAGCCCCTCCCCGCCACAATTAAAGCCCCTCCCCGCCACAATTAAAGCCCCTCCCCGCCACAAATAAAGCCCCTCCCCGCCACAAATAAAGCCCCTCCCCGCCACAATTAAAGCCTCTCCCCGCCACAATTAAAGCCTCCCCGCCACAATAAAAGCCTCCCCGCCACAATTAAAGCCTCCCCGCCACAATAAAAGCCTTCCCGCCACAATAAAAGCCTCATCGCCACAATAAAAGCCTCATCGCCACAATTAAAGCCCCTCCCCGCCACAATAAAAGCCCCTCCCCGCCACAATTAAAGCCTCCCCGCCACAATTAAAGCCTCATCGCCACAATAAAAGCCCCTCCCCGCCACAATTAAAGCCCTTCCCCGCCACAATAAAAGCCTCCCCGCCACAATAATTGCCTCCCGTGATACTGACCGTGTTTCTCTCTGACAGGAGGACCGCACTCTGAACGCTCTGAAGAAGCCGGCGTTAAAGAAACTCACGCTGCTGCCACACGTGATCCTGCACCTGAGGAAGTAAGAGCTCATGAAACCCGTCTCCTACAATGAAGTGGGGAAGATGTGACGTAGCCCCCTCTCTGTGTGTATTCATGTGATGTAGAATAGGTTTAAAAACATAGACTTGAGACGATGAATAATCTGTTTGAGTATAACGACGCAGCAGCACTCGCTGACCGTGCCGTGTTTCCCTCAGACAGGACTTGAAGGAGACGTTCATCGACAGCGGCGTGATGTCGGCCATCAAAGAGTGGATCAGTCCTCTTCCAGATAAATCTCTCCCTGCTCTGAGGATCCGAGGAGAGCTGCTGCGCATCCTGCAGGAGGTGACTCCATTACTGATTACAAGCTCAGACATGGCAGATGCTAAGCTGTCAGCGTAGCTGCAGGGACGTCACGTGGAGGTTCAAATAGTTATGAGACAAAAGGAAAGCAAGATGAAAATGTTATCACACAGTAATGTGTTCACAACCCGCAGTGAACAGTGTTGTTTCATGTCTTGGTGACTTTGAGGAAGAAAATACTTCAAAGCACCAAAATCAATATGTATCTACAATATTTACAAAGATAGTCACGGCGCTTTCATGTCCTGTTGGCTGTGCCCCAGAGGGCCTCAGCGTCGCCCTGCGGGGATCCTCTTAGGCCCCACGGCCCCGGTTCCGGATCCTCTTAGGCCCCACGGCCCCGGTTCCGGATCCTCTTAGGCCCCACGGACCCGGTTCCGGATCCTCTTAGGCCCCACGGCCCCGGTTCCGGATCCTCTTAGGCCCCACGGCTCCGGTTCCGGATCCTCTTAGGCCCCACGGACCTGGTTCCGGATCCTCTTAGGCCCCACGGACCCGGTTCCGGATCCTCTTAGGCCCCACGGACCCGGTTCCGGATCCTCTTCAGCCCCACGGACCCGGTTCCGGATCCTCTTAGGCCCCACGGACCCGGTTCCGGATCCTCTTAGGCCCCACGGACCCGGTTCCGGATCCTCTTAGGCCCCACGGACCCGGTTCCGGATCCTCTTAGGCCCCACGGCCCCGGTTCCGGATCCTCTTAGGCCCCACGGACCCGGTTCCGGATCCTCTTCAGCCCCACGGACCCGGTTCCGGGGGCCGAAATCGCGTCATTTGCAGGAAACAACGTCTAAGGAACCTTAATATTTGATAAACTTTGAATATTTTATATCCATATAACGGGAAAACACTAATTTAACTGATCTTTTTCTTTTTTTTCTTCAAAAAACCACAATGCTAACAGTGAGCCTCTGAATTAGCCCCGAGCGAAAAATGCTAACCTATTACCGCACCGAAAATCACTCCTAGCTCCCTTCTTACTTATCCTAGCTGCACATCCAACACATCGTTTATGATCGTAAAGACACAGAATCTAACGGTGCCCACCTCAACACTGAAAGATACAAACTCGCAACGTTATCAACAAAAACGTAAATCAAAACATGTGGCGCTAGGTAGCCACAACGCTAACATGGCTTACCTTCCTCTTTGTCTGGTCTAAACTGGTCTTCAATGGCATTAAAACGATAACAACGCTGCTGTAGTTAATCCATAGGTTAATATCCAATGTGTCTGCGTCCCTTTGAAATGTTCTGATAATCCATAAGCAATAAAACTGCAATTCCGTTTTTAAATAGTAGAGCAGGCCATTCCTACGCTCTGCAGAAGATTGAATGCGCGAAGATCCCACCTTTTTTTTAACATGAGTCTATGGGACGATTTCCCTTCTATTCCATTGGCTCTGACTGTCAGGAAGAGATGTCACATGTCAACATCCAGCAAGGGGGGGGCCAGAGATAAGGAAAATCCACCCAAAAGACCCCAGAAGAGGTTTTTGTGCTAAATCTGTCTAAAAAGGTCAAATGTCACTTGTTTTGCATCAATCTTGATACAGGGCACTTCTTATATGTTGTACTTTGGATTCCTAAAGCTTGTAGTCTACTAGCCATTATCCAAGGTTAGTTTTCACTATAAGTACAACATATTTTTTGGACGGACACTATAATTTACAGTTTTTTACTATGTTCAATCTGAATTTTCTTTAAAATAAAAACATCTATATTGAATCTGACTTTTCTACATCCAACTCACAGGTTTATCATTACTTTGAGAAAAGAGATTATTAATTTAACCCTTTTAGAAGATATGGTCATTTGTTCTGGGAATGTCCTTTTGGAGCCTGAGACCTGAAACACAGACTCAGGGCTGAACAGGTTTTAAGGGAGGAAGGTAAGGGGTGATGTGCAGCGAGGCGGTGCTCAGGAGCCCGACGCGGAGGGAACCTGATCGATGTAAATCGATATTTACATCGATACATAACGATGTAAATCAAATGTTTTTATTAATTTAAAAAATAGTTGTATTGATTTAAATTGATATGCATCCGCTAAGAGAAGTCCGTTGTTACCGTTTGAACTAACGTAGCAACGGCAGGAACTGCTTCCATAGCGCTCTTTAGGAGCTTTTTGATTACAGATTTGAAAACATCGCTGCTTGCTTTAATAGTAGCACACTTCATGAAGTCAGACCTTGGAGAGTATCTAGATATCCTGCCCTAAAGCCAGAGGAACTGCACACTGAATGTGTGTCTGCGTCTGATGTCTGTGTCTGGAGCGCTGCGTAACACGGAGGGGTTCTGCCCGTTACTTCTCCACACAGTTTTCTTTTCAGACAAACTGTGGCAACGTCCTTAACAACGGTCAATAAGTCCTTAACAACGGTCAATAAGTCCTTAACAACGGTCAATAAGTCCTTGACAACGGTCTGTCTGTTCTGGATTAACAACGTGTCACGTGTTCTGAATTGACCAATCAGAATCGAGTATTCAACTAAGCCATGTAATACAAGAATGATGTGACGACAGAATCTCCTCTCTCCTCGTTAGGATGCTCCCTCGTCACTAAGTGTTTCCTGTGACGTTTCCTCTCGTTAAGGATGCTCCCTCGTTAGGATGCTCCCTCGTTATGCTCCTCTCTCACTAAGTGTTTCCTGTGACGTTTCCTCTCGTTAAGGATGCTCCCTCGTTATGCTCCTCTCTCACTAAGTGTTTCCTGTGACGTTTCCTCTCGTTAGGATGCTCCCTCGTTAGGATGCTCCCTCGTTATGCTCCTCTCTCACTAAGTGTTTCCTGTGACGTTTCCTCTCGTTAAGGATGCTCCCTCGTTAGGATGCTCCCTCGTTATGCTCCCCTGTCACGTTTCCTCTCGTTAAGGATGCTCCCTCGTTAGGATGCTCCCTCGTTATGCTCCTCTCTCACTAAGTGTTTCCTGTGACGTTTCCTCTCGTTAGGATGCTCCCTCGTTATGCTCCCCTGTCACTAAGTGTTTCCTGTGACGTTTCCTCTCGTTAGGATGCTCCCTCGCTAGGATGCTCCCTCGTTAGAATGCTCCCTCGCTATGCTCCTCTCACTAAGTGTTTCCTGTGACGTTTCCTCTCGTTAGGATGCTCCCTCGCTAGGATGCTCCCTCGTTAGAATGCTCCCTCGTTATGCTCCTCTCACTAAGTGTTTCCTGTGACGTTTCCTCTCGTTAGAATGCTCCCTCGCTATGCTCCTCTCTCACTAAGTGCTTCCTGTGACGTTTCCTCTCGTTAGGATGCTCCCTCGTTATGCTCCTCTCTCACTAAGTGTTTCCTGTGACGTTTCCTCTCGTTAGAATGCTCCCTCGCTATGTTCCTCTCTCACTAAGTGCTTCCTGTGTGTTTGCAGCTGCCCAGTGTGAGTCAGGAGACTCTGAAGCACAGCGGCATCGGGCGCTCCGTCATGTTCCTCTACAAACACCCCAAAGAGTCCAGAGCCAACAAAGACCTCGCCCTCAAACTCATCAGTAAGTAAGGAATCCTCAAGGTTGCTGATCCTGAGTGTCCTCCTCCAACATGAGCCGAAAGGGCAGATCTGCTGGCTCTAACAATGTCTCTGTGGAGAACACCCTCTCTAGAGACAGAGGTAGCAGATCTGCTGGCTCTAACAATGTCTCTGTGGAGAACACCCTCTCTAGAGACAGAGGTAGCAGATCTGCTGGCTCTAACAATGTCTCTGTGGAGAACACCCTCTCTAGAGACAGAGGTAGCAGATCTTCTGGCTCTAACAATGTCTCTGTGGAGAACACTCTCTCTAGAGACAGAGGTAGCAGATCTGCTGGCTCTAACAATGTCTCTGTGGAGAACACCCTCTCTAGAGACAGAGGTAGCAGATCTGCTGGCTCTAACAATGTCTCTGTGGAGAACACCCTCTCTAGAGACAGAGGTAGCAGATCTGCTGGCTCTAACAATGTCTCTGTGGAGAACACTCTCTCTAGAGACAGAGGTAGCAGATCTTCTGGCTCTAACAATGTCTCTGTGGAGAACACTCTCTCTAGAGACAGAGGTAGCAGATCTTCTGGCTCTAACAATGTCTCTGTGGAGAACACCCTCTCTAGAGACAGAGGTAGCAGATCTGCTGGCTCTAACAATGTCTCTGTGGAGAACACCCTCTCTAGAGACAGAGGTAGCAGATCTGCTGGCTCTAACAATGTCTCTGTGGAGAACACCCTCTCTAGAGACAGAGGTAGCAGATCTGCTGGCTCTAACAATGTCTCTGTGGAGAACACCCTCTCTAGAGACAGAGGTAGCAGATCTGCTGGCTCTAACAATGTCTCTGTGGAGAACACCCTCTCTAGAGACAGAGGTAGCAGATCTGCTGGCTCTAACAATGTCTCTGTGGAGAACACCCTCTCTAGGGACAGAGGTAGCAGATCTGCTGGCTCTAACAATGTCTCTGTGGAGAACACCCTCTCTAGGGACAGAGGTAGCAGATCTGCTGGCTCTAACAATGTCTCTGTGGAGAACACCCTCTCTAGGGACAGAGGTAGCAGATCTGCTGGCTCTAACAATGTCTCTGTGGAGAACACCCTCTCTAGGGACAGAGGTAGCAGATCTGCTGGCTCTAACAATGTCTCTGTGGAGAACACCCTCTCTAGAGACAGAGGTAGCAGATCTGCTGGCTCTAACAATGTCTCTGTGGAGAACACCCTCTCTAGAGACAGAGGTAGCAGATCTGCTGGCTCTAACAATGTCTCTGTGGAGAACACCCTCTCTAGGGACAGAGGTAGCAGATCTGCTGGCTCTAACAATGTCTCTGTGGAGAACACCCTCTCTAGAGACAGAGGTAGCAGATCTGCTGGCTCTAACAATGTCTCCGTGGAGAACACCCTCTCTAGAGACAGAGGTAGCAGATCTGCTGGCTCTAACAATGTCTCTGTGGAGAACACCCTCTCTAGAGACAGAGGTAGCAGATCTGCTGGCTCTAACAATGTCTCTGTGGAGAACACTCTCTCTAGGGACAGAGGTAGCAGATCTGCTGGCTCTAACAATGTCTCTGTGGAGAACACCCTCTCTAGGGACAGAGGTAGCAGATCTGCTGGCTCTAACAATGTCTCCGTGGAGAACACCCTCTCTAGAGACAGAGGCAGCAGATCTGCTGGCTCTAACAATGTCTCTGTGGAGAACACCCTCTCTAGGGACAGAGGTAGCAGATCTGCTGGCTCTAACAATGTCTCTGTGGAGAACACCCTCTCTAGAGACAGAGGTAGCAGATCTGCTGGCTCTAACAATGTCTCTGTGGAGAACACCCTCTCTAGAGACAGAGGTAACAGATCTGCTGGCTCTAACAATGTCTCTGTGGAGAACACCCTCTCTAGAGACAGAGGTAGCAGATCTGCTGGCTCTAACAATGTCTCTGTGGAGAACACCCTCTCTAGAGACAGAGGTAGCAGATCTGCTGGCTCTAACAATGTCTCTGTGGAGAACACCCTCTCTAGAGACAGAGGTAGCAGATCTGCTGGCTCTAACAATGTCTCTGTGGAGAACACCCTCTCTAGAGACAGAGGTAGCAGATCTGCTGGCTCTAACAATGTCTCTGTGGAGAACACCCTCTCTAGGGACAGAGGTAGCAGATCTTCTGGCTCTAACAATGTCTCTGTGGAGAACACCCTCTCTAGAGACAGAGGTAGCAGATCTGCTGGCTCTAACAATGTCTCTGTGGAGAACACCCTCTCTAGAGACAGAGGCAGCAGATCTTCTGGCTCTAACAATGTCTCTGTGGAGAACACCCTCTCTAGAGACAGAGGTAGCAGATCTGCTGGCTCTAACAATGTCTCTGTGGAGAACACTCTCTCTAGAGACAGAGGTAGCAGATCTGCTGGCTCTAACAATGTCTCTGTGGAGAACACCCTCTCTAGAGACAGAGGCAGCAGATCTTCTGGCTCTAACAATGTCTCTGTGGAGAACACCCCTCTCTAGAGACAGAGGTAGCAGATCTGCTGGCTCTAACAATGTCTCTGTGGAGAACACCCTCTCTAGAGACAGAGGTAGCAGATCTGCTGGCTCTAACAATGTCTCTGTGGAGAACACCCTCTCTAGAGACAGAGGTAGCAGATCTGCTGGCTCTAACAATGTCTCTGTGGAGAACACCCTCTCTAGAGACAGAGGTAGCAGATCTGCTGGCTCTAACAATGTCTCTGTGGAGAACACCCTCTCTAGAGACAGAGGTAGCAGATCTGCTGGCTCTAACAATGTCTCCGTGGAGAACACCCTCTCTAGAGACAGAGGTAGCAGATCTGCTGGCTCTAACAATGTCTCTGTGGAGAACACCCTCTCTAGAGACAGAGGCAGCAGATCTGCTGGCTCTAACAATGTCTCTGTGGAGAACACCCTCTCTAGGGACAGAGGTAGCAGATCTGCTGGCTCTAACAATGTCTCTGTGGAGAACACCCTCTCTAGAGACAGAGGTAGCAGATCTGCTGGCTCTAACAATGTCTCTGTGGAGAACACCCTCTCTAGGGACAGAGGTAGCAGATCTGCTGGCTCTAACAATGTCTCTGTGGAGAACACCCTCTCTAGAGACAGAGGTAGCAGATCTGCTGGCTCTAACAATGTCTCCGTGGAGAACACCCTCTCTAGAGACAGAGGTAGCAGATCTGCTGGCTCTAACAATGTCTCTGTGGAGAACACCCTCTCTAGAGACAGAGGTAGCAGATCTGCTGGCTCTAACAATGTCTCTGTGGAGAACACCCTCTCTAGAGACAGAGGTAGCAGATCTGCTGGCTCTAACAATGTCTCTGTGGAGAACACCCTCTCTAGAGACAGAGGTAGCAGATCTGCTGGCTCTAACAATGTCTCTGTGGAGAACACCCTCTCTAGAGACAGAGGTAGCAGATCTGCTGGCTCTAACAATGTCTCTGTGGAGAACACCCTCTCTAGAGACAGAGGTAGCAGATCTGCTGGCTCTAACAATGTCTCTGTGGAGAACACCCTCTCTAGGGACAGAGGTAGCAGATCTGCTGGCTCTAACAATGTCTCTGTGGAGAACACCCTCTCTAGAGACAGAGGTAGCAGATCTGCTGGCTCTAACAATGTCTCTGTGGAGAACACCCTCTCTAGAGACAGAGGTAGCAGATCTTCTGGCTCTAACAATGTCTCTGTGGAGAACACCCTCTCTAGAGACAGAGGTAGCAGATCTGCTGGCTCTAACAATGTCTCTGTGGAGAACACCCTCTCTAGAGACAGAGGTAGCAGATCTGCTGGCTCTAACAATGTCTCTGTGGAGAACACCCTCTCTAGAGACAGAGGTAGCAGATCTTCTGGCTCTAACAATGTCTCTGTGGAGAACACCCTCTCTAGGGACAGAGGTAGCAGATCTGCTGGCTCTAACAATGTCTCTGTGGAGAACACCCTCTCTAGAGACAGAGGTAGCAGATCTGCTGGCTCTAACAATGTCTCTGTGGAGAACACCCTCTCTAGGGACAGAGGTAGCAGATCTGCTGGCTCTAACAATGTCTCTGTGGAGAACACCCTCTCTAGAGACAGAGGTAGCAGATCTGCTGGCTCTAACAATGTCTCTGTGGAGAACACCCTCTCTAGAGACAGAGGTAGCAGATCTGCTGGCTCTAACAATGTCTCTGTGGAGAACACCCTCTCTAGAGACAGAGGTAGCAGATCTGCTGGCTCTAACAATGTCTCTGTGGAGAACACCCTCTCTAGGGACAGAGGTAGCAGATCTGCTGGCTCTAACAATGTCTCTGTGGAGAACACCCTCTCTAGAGACAGAGGTAGCAGATCTTCTGGCTCTAACAATGTCTCTGTGGAGAACACCCTCTCTAGAGACAGAGGTAGCAGATCTGCTGGCTCTAACAATGTCTCTGTGGAGAACACCCTCTCTAGGGACAGAGGTAGCAGATCTGCTGGCTCTAACAATGTCTCTGTGGAGAACACCCTCTCTAGAGACAGAGGTAGCAGATCTGCTGGCTCTAACAATGTCTCTGTGGAGAACACCCTCTCTAGGGACAGAGGTAGCAGATCTGCTGGCTCTAACAATGTCTCTGTGGAGAACACCCTCTCTAGAGACAGAGGCAGCAGATCTGCTGGCTCTAACAATGTCTCTGTGGAGAACACCCTCTCTAGAGACAGAGGTAGCAGATCTGCTGGCTCTAACAATGTCTCTGTGGAGAACACCCTCTCTAGAGACAGAGGTAGCAGATCTGCTGGCTCTAACAATGTCTCTGTGGAGAACACCCTCTCTAGACGACAGAGGTAGCAGATCTGCTGGCTCTAACAATGTCTCTGTGGAGAACACCCTCTCTAGAGACAGAGGTAGCAGATCTGCTGGCTCTAACAATGTCTCTGTGGAGAACACCCTCTCTAGAGACAGAGGTAGCAGATCTGCTGGCTCTAACAATGTCTCTGTGGAGAACACCCTCTCTAGAGACAGAGGTAGCAGATCTGCTGGCTCTAACAATGTCTCTGTGGAGAACACCCTCTCTAGGACAGAGGTAGCAGATCTGCTGGCTCTAACAATGTCTCTGTGGAGAACACCCTCTCTAGAGACAGAGGTAGCAGATCTGCTGGCTCTAACAATGTCTCTGTGGAGAACACCCTCTGTAGAGACAGAGGTAGCAGATCTGCTGGCTCTAACAATGTCTCTGTGGAGAACACCCTCTCTAGAGACAGAGGTAGCAGATCTGCTGGCTCTAACAATGTCTCTGTGGAGAACACCCTCTCTAGAGACAGAGGTAGCAGATCTGCTGGCTCTAACAATGTCTCTGTGGAGAACACCCTCTCTAGAGACAGAGGTAGCAGATCTGCTGGCTCTAACAATGTCTCTGTGGAGAACACCCTCTCTAGAGACAGAGGTAGCAGATCTGCTGGCTCTAACAATGTCTCTGTGGAGAACACCCTCTCTAGAGACAGAGGTAGCAGATCTGCTGGCTCTAACAATGTCTCTGTGGAGAACACCCTCTCTAGTCTAGGGACAGAGGTAGCACAGCCAGGTAGCGCTTTGCTAACATGGCAACATAAGGGTACTTGGCGTTTGTAATAGCTTTGTCTCGGTCTGAACTCTCTGCGAGTGGTGGAGGCTTACATGCTAGCGGGAGTTGGGTTTGCTTCAGTCTTTTGGTACCCGTGATATTCACGTTCGGGTGATGCCTTTTCAAATGAGTGTGATGTATTGCCAGCCGCGTAACCAATGTTAGTTGATCAATGTCGACAAACAGCTTTGGTTCGGTCCACCTGTCTTTGTCCGTCATCCTTGTTCGTAACTGCGAAACCAAAATGTTCCCAAACCGGAGACTTCAACGATGCTGGAGGATTTTCAGCTCAACTTGATCTGCGTTCGCCATTTCCACAGTTCCTCAAATTACTGACTACATTTGAACGCATCCCTCTGACCAGCTCTCAGTATGCCTCTCGTCCAATGAAATGACTTGCTCGCTCTATGACGCGTTGAACCCAATGTGAGCAAATTACTCTGAACGCTGCGACGCACGTGAACCGACCCGAAGGCTGTTGGTCGTATTCTGATGTATTGATCTGTTCAGATGAGGGGGGGTTAAAGGTCGTATTCTGATGTATTGATCTGTTCAGATGAGGGGGGGTTAAAGGTCGTATTCTGATGTATTGATCTGTTCAGATGAGGGGGGGGTTAAAGGTCGTATTCTGATGTATTGATCTGTTCAGATGAGGGGGGGGGTTAAAGGTCGTATTCTGATGTATTGATCTGTTCAGATGAGGGGGGGGTTAAAGGTCGTATTCTGATGTATTGATCTGTTCAGATGAGGGGGGGGTTAAAGGTCGTATTCTGATGTATTGATCTGTTCAGATGAGGGGGGGGTTAAAGGTCGTATTCTGATGTATTGATCTGTTCAGATGAGTGGGGGTTAAAGGTCGTATTCTGATGTATTGATCTGTTCAGATGAGGGGGGGTTAAAGGTCGTATTCTGATGTATTGATCTGTTCAGATGAGGGGGGGGTTAAAGGTCGTATTCTGATGTATTGATCTGTTCAGATGAGGGGGGGGTTAAAGGTCGTATTCTGATGTATTGATCTGTTCAGATGAGGGGGGGTTAAAGGTCGTATTCTGATGTATTGATCTGTTCAGATGAGGGGGGGGTTAAAGGTCGTATTCTGATGTATTGATCTGTTCAGATGAGGGGGGGGTTAAAGGTCGTATTCTGATGTATTGATCTGTTCAGATGAGTGGGGGGTTAAAGGTCGTATTCTGATGTATTGATCTGTTCAGATGAGTGGGGGTTAAAGGTCGTATTCTGATGTATTGATCTGTTCAGATGAGGGGGGGGTTAAAGGTCGTATTCTGATGTATTGATCTGTTCAGATGAGGGGGGGGTTAAAGGTCGTATTCTGATGTATTGATCTGTTCAGATGAGTGGGGGTTAAAGGTCGTATTCTGATGTATTGATCTGTTCAGATGAGTGGGGGTTAAAGGTCGTATTCTGATGTATTGATCTGTTCAGATGAGGGGGGGGTTAAAGGTCGTATTCTGATGTATTGATCTGTTCAGATGAGGGGGGGTTAAAGGTCGTATTCTGATGTATTGATCTGTTCAGATGAGGGGGGGTTAAAGGTCGTATTCTGATGTATTGATCTGTTCAGATGAGTGGGGGTTAAAGGTCGTATTCTGATGTATTGATCTGTTCAGATGAGGGGGGGGTTAAAGGTCGTATTCTGATGTATTGATCTGTTCAGATGAGGGGGGGGGTTAAAGGTCGTATTCTGATGTATTGATCTGTTCAGATGAGGGGGGGTTAAAGGTCGTATTCTGATGTATTGATCTGTTCAGATGAGTGGGGGTTAAAGGTCGTATTCTGATGTATTGATCTGTTCAGATGAGGGGGGGTTAAAGGTCGTATTCTGATGTATTGATCTGTTCAGATGAGGGGGGGTTAAAGGTCGTATTCTGATGTATTGATCTGTTCAGATGAGGGGGGGTTAAAGGTCGTATTCTGATGTATTGATCTGTTCAGATGAGGGGGGGTTAAAGGTCGTATTCTGATGTATTGATCTGTTCAGATGAGGGGGGGGTTAAAGGTCGTATTCTGATGTATTGATCTGTTCAGATGAGGGGGGGGTTAAAGGTCGTATTCTGATGTATTGATCTGTTCAGATGAGTGGGGGTTAAAGGTCGTATTCTGATGTATTGATCTGTTCAGATGAGGGGGGGTTAAAGGTCGTATTCTGATGTATTGATCTGTTCAGATGAGGGGGGGGTTAAAGGTCGTATTCTGATGTATTGATCTGTTCAGATGAGGGGGGGTTAAAGGTCGTATTCTGATGTATTGATCTGTTCAGATGAGGGGGGGTTAAAGGTCGTATTCTGATGTATTGATCTGTTCAGATGAGGGGGGGTTAAAGGTCGTATTCTGATGTATTGATCTGTTCAGATGAGGGGGGGTTAAAGGTCGTATTCTGATGTATTGATCTGTTCAGATGAGGGGGGGTTAAAGGTCGTATTCTGATGTATTGATCTGTTCAGATGAGGGGGGGTTAAAGGTCGTATTCTGATGTATTGATCTGTTCAGATGAGGGGGGGGTTAAAGGTCGTATTCTGATGTATTGATCTGTTAGATGAGGGGGGGTTAAAGGTCGTATTCTGATGTATTGATCTGTTTAGATGAGGGGGGGGTTAAAGGTCGTATTCTGATGTATTGATCTGTTCAGATGAGGGGGGGTTAAAGGTCGTATTCTGATGTATTGATCTGTTCAGATGAGGGGGGGTTAAAGGTCGTATTCTGATGTATTGATCTGTTCAGATGAGTGGTCTCGGCCCATCTTCGGCCTCACGTCGAACTACAAAGCAATGACGAGAGAGGAGAGGCAGCAGAGAGACCTGGACCAGCAGATGCCTCAGAAACAGAGACTCAGGTAACACACACACACACACACACACACACACACACACAATATGATCTGAACCAGTGGTTCGTTCACCTGGAGAGGAAGGAACCCTCAAATCTGAGGAATGTCATAACGATGTTTTGTCTTGTGTAACCATTAGCCAATCAGCAACAAGGTAACCCCCCCCCTCCTCTAGAGCTCCATTGAGTTCTTTGTAACCAGATGTCTCTCAGAGGGGCGTGGGGAGGGGCTCCTTGTCTTCATCTAAAGTAACAGACAGAGAACCAGCACTTTGGAAACAGGGCTGAAACAGAGGGGATTGTGGGTAATGCTGCAATGATCTGTTTGGGGTTTCAGCCAATCAGAGACAGGAAGAGACGTATGCTCTTCCAATAGACGCTGCTTTAATGGTTTTCACATCATGAGCTGTGAAATGTTCTGACCTGAGAGTCGCTCTCACACAGAAACCTGTCCATGGTCTGATTTCATCTTTCCATCACCACATGTTGAGTTCCTCCTGCAGCCCCTTCATCATCCTCCTGATTCACTCTCTGATTTCATTCCTCTTCATCATCCTCCTCCTCTTCATCAGTAAGCCTCAGAAGGTGTTGAGAGAGGAGGAGCCTGACGTCTTCTCTCCACCAATCAGGTTCAGTTATTCTCTGCATGTTTGCAGTGGGGTTTGAAAGAGCCACATCAGCATTAAGGTGGCTCTCAAAGGGTGTATCTTTAAGACTATATAAATATGTAATAATGTGTTTTGCCTCTGCATTGGATTATTCTGGGATAGGGTGATAACTTCATAATGAACTGCGTCTCAAAGCTGAAGTCTGGGGCAAATCATTGCACGTCTCTTCAGTGCGCACGTCACAAAATGATATTTAGAGAAAAAGGAACATTTTGAAAAAAAAGACAAATTCTAAGAAGAAAGTCAAATTTGAGATGCATTGTGGGACATGTAGTTTATGGGCGATGTGCTTCTGTAAAGCAGCATGTAACGCTGCTGTCTCTGCAGAAGAAGAAAAGGCTGCACTGTATTATTATTATTAGCTTACACAATTAAGAATGAATGACAGACTCAGGGTCCAGATACAAGACATAAGAGACTGGCTTTGATAACGTCTGCATACTAACGTGATGCATCTCCACTGCCGTGTGTCGTCTCTATGGGAGAGCATCAGGTGCTCGCTGCGTCTCATTGGCTCACTGCTATTTTCATGCACCACTCGTGACGGTTTGCTTCTTGCTTGATATGAAGATATTTTGTGATAACGAGGTTCAGCAGTCGAGCTGGCTAACGTGTGTGTGTGTGTGTGTGTGTGTGTGTGTGTGTGTGTGTGTGTGTGTGTGTGTGTGTGTGTGTGTGTGTGTGTGTGTGTGTGTGTGTGTGTGTGTGTGTGTGTGTGTGTGTGTGTGTGTGTGTGTGTGTGTGTGTGTGTGTGTGTGTGTGTGTGTGTGTGTGTGTGTGTGTGTGTGTGTGTGTGTCCACTTCGAGCGTTAGAACTATTAACGAAGCACTTATATACCAATAAAGGACTGGATTACCTAAAGCCAGTTGAGTAGCACTTGAAATGTTTGGCTCTATGAAACCTGATATACTTATATGATTCTGTTTTCTTCAAGGTTGTGTCTTCCTGGTCGAATGTACTTATTGTAAGTCGCTTTGGACAAAAGCGTCAGCTAAATGCAATGTAATGTGTGTGTGTGTGTGTGTGTGTAGCTCGGGGGGGCAGACGCCTCGCAGAGACCTGGAGAAACAGCTGACCGGAGAGGAGAAGTGAGTTCAGACCTTTGTTGTTCTTCTGAGTTATTGTCTGTTATCACAGTCTTGTGTCATCAAGGATTTTCCTAACTGCATATTGAAGCAGCAGCGCCCCCTAATGGACACCAGCACACTGCATGTGTTTTCACCAGTGATGCAAATACAATACGGCTAAGGCAGTAAAAACTGTAAACGAGTCAATAAGTTATTGAACATGTATCAATGCAGTTGATCACAAACCTAGACATGATATATACAAACGGTGTGAGGTAGAATACCAGGCGCAGTTGGATGTAAACATGTACTTAGTTGAGCATAAGGGTTAGGAAAAGCTATATGATGCCCTCTCCTCCTCAGAGCTCTGAGACCAGGAGACCCCGGGTTCTGCGCCCGCGCCCGCGTGCCCATGCCCTCCAACAAGGACTACGTGGTGAGACCCAAGTGGAACATCGAGATGGAGTCAAACAGGGTGAGCATGACGCTTTGTGCTCTGTGGGGTGAAGAGAGATCTGTTCCGGTAACGTGAAGGTTAACGTCTCCTCTCTCCTCGCCTCCTCTCCTCGCCTCCTCTCTCCTCTCTACCTGAGAGTTAGAGTTTCAGCTTATAGATGTTTCTGTTAGAGTGCTGACAGTCAGAAGCCCTTTCTCAACTCTAATGTTCCCCTCTCTCCTCGCCTCCTCTTTCCTCGCCTCGTCTTTCCCCGTCTCCTATTCTCGACTCCTTTCGAGGAGAGAGGAGTCGAGGAGGGGAAGCAGTAGGCGGTTAGAGAAATGAGAACTCCTCTCCTCTGAGCGGTCATTTTAAAGAGACGTCCATTAATGATGACAGGAGGCAGCAGCCCTCTGTCTGATGGACAGAACTGTGTTACACGCACACACACACACACACACACACACACACACACACACACACACACACACACACACACAGATCTATGTACGATTTCAGAATCAAACGAGTATTAGAGCACTCTCATAATAACTAACGCTATCAGAGACTTGATATTTTATAGCTCCTCCAGAGAGCCTCCTCGATGTGCATTTAGAGAAATTAGATGTCTTTCAACATGGCGCGCTGACATCGATTTCCGGGTCACTACCAGAGGAGTCGAGGGACCGAGGAGTCGAGGAAGCAGAAATTAGAGAATTGAGAAAGGGCTATAGTGTAGCCATGACTGCTAGCTTGAAACAAGGGGAACATGCATTTAAATTAAGTGGTTAAACATCAGCTGATCCCAGAGACCTGGTCCTGGTTTGGTGCTGGTTTTGGTCACGAGCTGGCCTGTGATTGGTCCTCTCAGAAAGGCAGTAAGAAGGGCATCAGCCGATTGGAGAAGCACAAGCGACGCATCGCGGACCAGAGGAAGCTGACGCGCCTGCAGGGAGCCGTGAAGATCAGCGTGGAGGGCAACAGGATGCCTCTGTAGCTCCTGATGCAGCTGCTGGTGCAGTTCCTGCTGACGCCTGCAGGGGGCGTGAGTCCTGCTGCATGGTGTGCAGGAATGAGTCCTGAACTGGACATGAGTCAGCGCTTCCTGTTCCCTCTGCAGTGGTTATAGGTTGTTATCCTGGAATAAAGTCTGGTTAACACAAGCTGAAGAGATCTAGATTCTACCATCAGTACGTGAAGTCATGTGACCGTGCTGAAGTTCCTTTATAGCCCAACATTAGCCTCCTTTAGCTTAGCGGTGGTGACGTGAAGTCATGTGACCGTGCTGTAGTTCCTTTATAACCCAACATTAGCCACCTTTAGCTTAGCGGTGGTGACGTGAAGTCATGTGACCGTGCTGTAGTTCCTTTATATCCCAACATTAGCCTCCTTTAGCTTAGCGGTGGTGACGTGAAGTCATGTGACCGTGCTGTAGTAACTTTATAACCCAACATTAGCCACCTTTAGCTTAGCGGTGGTGACGTGAAGTCATGTGACCGTGCTGTAGTTCCTTTATAGCCCAACATTAGCCTCCTTTAGCTTAGCGGTGGTGACGTGAAGTCATGTGACCGTGCTGTAGTTCCTTTATAACCCAACATTAGCCACCTTTAGCTTAGCGGTGGTGACGTGAAGTCATGTGACCGTGCCGTAGTTCCTTTATAGCCCAACATTAGCCTCCTTTAGCTTAGCGGTGGTGACGTGAAGTCATGTGACCGTGCCGTAGTTCCTTTATAGCCCAACATTAGCCTCCTTTAGCTTAGCGGTGGTGACGTGAAGTCATGTGACCGTGCTGTAGTTCCTTTATAGCCCAACATTAGCCTCCTTTAGCTTAGCGGTGGTGGCATGAAGTCATGTGACCGTGCTGTAGCTCCTTTATAGCCCACATTAGAACCCACTCACTAACCTGTTGGTGTTTTGATGCTTTTGTGAAGTTAGTTCTTAGTGTTTTTAACTCTGCATGAGTCTAAAGTGACATGTGCTGAAGAGACACGCTTACCAACACACATTAATCTCCACAAGTGTGCTTTACCTTTCTGATCACGTTAGCATGGTTTCTAATCCGATGTTCTGTGTCTCGTTGCAGCTCGGCCCCCTGAAGAAGGGGATGTCTCGCGTTGATAAACAGATGAGGAGGATCGCAGATATTCGACGCATGACGAAGCCGGGCCACGCTGTGAAGATCAGCGTTCAGGGGAACCACATGCCGCTCTGATTTTAGATCCTTAGCGTTTAGTATTCTTTATTTTGTATGTGTTTGAATATCCCCAATTATCTCCTGCTGCTCCTCCTGAGGTCAAATCACAGAGAACAAGTGATGAAACATTCAGAGTGGATTCCAAAATGATCCTCAGAATCAGAGATAGCTCGATGCTAACATAACGGGTTCATTTAATGTTCCAATATTAGCTTATGTTAGCAGTTAGCTCCAATGCTCTAGCTCTAAGGTAATGTTAGCCGCTAGCTACATTAGCTTCAGCTCTGTAAGTAATCTTTTCAAGTTAGCATACTAATGTTAGCACACTAGCATCATTAGCCCAAGCTAGGAGTTAACTACTGTTAGCTCACTAGCTACATTAGCCCAAGCTAAGCGTTAACTAATGTTAGCACACTAGCTACATTAGCCCAAGCTAGGAGTTAACTAATATTAGCACACTATCATCATTAGCTTAAGCTAGGAGGTAACTAATGTTAGCACACTAGCTACATTAGCTAAAGCTAGGAGTTCAATAATGTTAGCACACTAGCATCATTAGCTCAAACTATGTTAGCACACTAGCATCATTAGCTCAAACTGTTAGCACACTAGCATCATTAGCTCAAGCTATGTTAGCAGACTAGCATCAATAGCTCAAGCTTGGAGTAATATTATCAGTTAGCTACATCAGGTTGAGCTCTAAATATACTAATGTTAACATATTAGCTTCACTAGCTCCAAAGTAAATGTTAGCATCGTTAGCCACGTTAGCTCTATATTTTTAAAGGTTCAATCTTGTTTTAAGGGAATACAACTTTAAAAAGTCGATTAAGGGCAGAAATAAAGAGATTTCTCCGTGAAGCTGGTTTTAAAGTGAGAAACCTTGGATAACAACAAGCCTTTAGGGATCACTTGTATCCGCCCACCTTCAGGTTGATAAATCAAGTGAAAGTGACGTCGAGCCTCACTAAAGTGCCTCTGATGACGTTACCTCATGACGATACTGCTGATTGAATACCTGTGATTGTTGATTTAGAAACAGATAATGAGGATCATTTCGGGACATTTTGAGTTTTTATATCCTTCATTTTTCTCTAAACTTTTCTAACGTTGGATTTGAAAACAATTTATTTTCCCTGACGCTGGTTTTTTGTTTTGTTTCTGAAAGAGAAGGCGTTGCTCCTTTTTGTCCCTCCTCTGCTGCCGTAGCGTCTGTACAGAAGTCTGAAAGCTGTTCTGATCAGGTGAAACTTTTCTTAATAAAAACTCAGAAACTCACCTGCGCCTCGAGCTCTTCTTTATAAAAACTACCTGAGACTCTCGTTTACACCTGGGGTTCATTAACACCTGGGTTCGTTTACACCTGGGTTCATTAACACCTGGGTTCATTAACACCTGGGTTCATTAACACCTGGGGGTCATTAACACCTGGGTTCATTAACACCTGGGTTCATTAACACCTGGGGGTCATTAACACCTGGTTCATTAACACCTGGGTTCATTTACACCTGGGTTCATTAACACCTGGGTTCATTAACACCTGGGTTCATTTACACCTGGGTTCATTAACATCTGGGTTCATTAACACCTGGGGTTCATTTACACCTGGGGTTCATTAACACCTGGGTTCATTAACACCTGGGGTTAATTAACACCTGGGGATCATTAACTCCTGGTTCATTAACACCTGGGTTCATTAACACCTGGTTCATTAACACCTGGGGTTAATTAACACCTGGGGATCATTAACACCTGGGTTCATTAACACCTGGGTTCATTAACACCTGGTTCATTAACACCTGGGGGCGTTAACACCTGGGGTCATTAACACCTGGGTTCATTAACACCTGGGGTTCATTAACACCTGGGTCCATTAACACCTGGGGTTCATTTACACCTGGTTCATTAACACCTGGGTTCATTAACACCTGGGGTTAATTAACACCTGGGGATCATTAACTCCTGGGTTCATTAACACCTGGGTTCATTAACACCTGGGGTTAATTAACACCTGGGGATCATTAACTCCTGGGTTCATTAACACCTGGTTCATTAACACCTGGGTTCATTTACACCCGGGTTCATTAACACCTGGGGTCATTAACACCTGGTTCATTAACACCTGGGGTCGTTAACACCTGGGGTTCATTAACACCTGGGGTTCATTAACACCTGGGGTCATTAACACCTGGGGTCATTAACACCTGGGTTCATTAACACTTGGGGTCATTAACACCTGGGTTCATTAACACCTGGTTCATTAACACCTGGGGTTAATTAACACCTGGGGATCATTAACACCTGGGTTCATTAACACCTGGGTTCATTAACACTTGGGGATCATTAACTCCTGGGTTCATTAACACCTGGGTTAATTAACACCTGGTTCATTAACACCTGGTTCATTAACACCTGGGGTCATTAACACCTGGGTTCATTAACACCTGGGGTCATTAACACCTGGGGTCATTAACACCTGGGGTTCATTAACACCTGGGGTCATTAACACCTGGGGTCGTTAACACCTGGGGTCATTAACACCTGGGGTTCATTAACACCTGGTTCATTAACACTTGGGGTCATTAACATCTGGGGTTCATTAACACCTGGGGTTCATTAACACCTGGGTTCATTAACACCTGGGGTCATTAACACCTGGGTTCATTAACACTTGGGGTCATTAACACCTGGGGTCATTAACACCTGGTTCATTAACACCTGGGGTTCATTAACACCTGGGTTCATTAACACTTGGGGTCATTAACACCTGGGTTCATTAACACCTGGGTTCATTAACACCTGGGGTTCATTAACACTTGGGGTCATTAACACCTGGGGTTCATTAACACCTGGGTTCATTAACACTTGGGGTCATTAACACCTGAGTTCATTAACACCTGGGGTTCATTAACACTTGGGGTCATTAACACCTGGGTTCATTAACACCTGGGGTTCATTAACACTTGGGGTCATTAACACCTGGGTTCATTAACACCTGGGGTTCATTAACACCTGGGTTCATTAACACTTGGGGTCATTAACACCTGGGTTCATTAACACCTGGGTTCATTAACACCTAGGGTTCATTAACACTTGGGGTCATTAACACCTGGGGTCATTAACACCTGGGTTCATTAACACCTGGGGTCATTAACACTTGGGGTCATTAACACCTGGGTTCATTAACACCTGGGGTTCATTAACACCTGGGTTCATTAACACTTGGGGTCATTAACACCTGGGGTCATTAACACCTGGTTCATTAACACCTGGGGTCATTAACACTTGGGGTCATTAACACCTGGGTTCATTAACACCTGGGTTCATTAACACTTGGGGTCATTAACATCTGGGGTTCATTAACACCTGGTTCATTAACACCTGGGTTCATTTACACCTGGGGTTCATTAACACTTGGGGTCATTAGCACTTGGGGTCATTAACATCTGGGGTTCATTAACACCTGGTTCATTAACACCTGGGTTCATTTACACCTGGGGTTCATTAACACTTGGGGTCATTAACACCTGGGTTCATTAACACCTAGGGTTCATTAACATCTGGGGTTCATTAACACCTGGTTCATTAACACCTGGGTTCATTAACACCTGGGTTCATTAACACCTAGGGTTCATTAACACCTGGGGTTCATTAACACCTGGTTCATTAACACCTGGGTTCATTTACACCTGGGGTTCATTAACACTTGGGGTCATTAACACTTGGGGTCATTAACATCTGGGGTTCATTAACACCTGGTTCATTAACACCTGGGTTCATTTACACCTGGGGTTCATTAACACTTGGGGTCATTAACACCTGGGTTCATTAACACCTAGGGTTCATTAACATCTGGGGTTCATTAACACCTGGTTCATTAACACCTGGGTTCATTAACACCTGGGGTTCATTAACACTTGGGGTCATTAACACTTGGGGTCATTAACATCTGGGGTTCATTAACACCTGGTTCATTAACACCTGGGTTCATTTACACCTGGGGTTCATTAACACTTGGGGTCATTAACACCTGGGGTCATTAACACCTGGGGTTACTCCTCTCTCCTCGACTCCTAACCCATTTATTTTGTATTCCCAAAATGAAGTGTTTCTATAGAAGATGGAATGCACATCGTGATCACATGTCTTGATGATCGTACCTGTAACTCTTCAGTTTATTGATCCGTTAATGATGTTATTGATCGACTCTCAGAAGAAATGAAACTCCGTCGGCAGCGTGATCGATTTTATTGATTTGAACAATAACAGTGAAGAGAAGCTTTGACAGAAAGAGAGACTCCGCTGCACCGAAACTCAGAGAAGGATCCATCATGAGTGAATAGTTGCATTTAAATGTGGTGTAAATACGTGTCTTTAGCATCCTCTCTTCATGGTTTCTTATAAATACTAATTCCTTGAACCTTGTGATTCAGTTCATCCAGACGCGAGAGCAAACACACTTTCCTTCTGATCAACACGTTGGATCTGATTTAGCTGCTTCCTGATAGGATCATTCAAAATGCTAGTGATGGGAGTTACGACTCTCTGAAGGGAGCCGGACCTCATGGCTCCGTTCCTCTCCGAGAGCCGTTCAAAAGAGCCGTTGTTTTTGGGGGCGGGGTTATCTTGTTCATCTGCGAAATAATCACCAGGATAATGATGGACTGTATCGCCAGAAATCTACTTCTACTCACAGAAAATGTATAACTTGCTCCATCTCTCAGCCGAACTACTCAAGCAGCGTTACGCCATCATCTACAGAACATTTGCATTCAGGAAAGCAAGAATCGGAATGTTCGCGACCAACACATCACTAGTTCAAAATGCACTCAAAGACGTATAAAAGTTCTCCTTTTAATCAACAGTTCCTCAAATGACCAGCAGGTGCTGCTCAAAGGAAACTACATCAGAGGCCCTGTTCGTCTCTCTGTTGGTGCATGTAAACGGTCTGCAGAGGCTAAAATCCCAAAGTTCACATCCATAGCATCTTGCTGTTTATTTATCTAATTTATCACATTCCATGTACTTGTACACAGACTCTTCTGGCACTATTTAATGTTATTTGTATTTACTTGCACATCTCAAAACATTCTCTTGCACTATTTGATCTGTTTTATTAGTTGTATGTGCTATATATAATCATGCTGCTCTGCCTGAGGAGGACTTGCGTTTCTCATCTCCATATCTCCTCTGAAGCTGCTGCATGAGAGAGACCTGAGCCTAGTAGAGGCTGCTCAAAGAAAACTACATCAAAGAGGCCCTATTTCTTCTTCTGTGGTGTCCCTCTCCTGAAATGTGTTCTATAGGTGTTGTTAGTGCATGTAAACGGTCTGCAGAGGCTAAAATCCCAAGGTATGACACTTTAGATCCACCTGAACACCAGCGGGACTCTTTGATCGAAGTCATTAAGAATCTGTTCGATGTGCGTTTATTTTTTAAAGTCGTATTGTTTTGGGTTTCGGTGCAGAGGAGCAGAGAAACAACCGGAGACAGAACCTCGAGTCACGTGATCAGCGTCGAGGCAAAGAAGCCTCCAGTCAGAAGAGAGGGGGGGGGGGGTGCTGCGTGGTGGTGCATTCAGGGACAATCTGAAACATACTGTAAGGAAGTTCTGTTATAACTGTCGGGGGTGAACGTTCTCGTGGCCGGAGGCGAGGACTCGGAGGGTTGGACTGAAAAGGTGAGAACTTATATTTGTAAAAACATGAAAAGCAGGATTTAAAATAATGATTAACTTCAGGTTGAATGTGTCGTGATGGAAGAAGAACGTGGATTCTTTTTTTTTATCATGTTGTCCAAAAAACGAAAGTAATGGCATCAAAATACTAAAAGTACTCATTACGCAGAATGAAGTCTGTAATATTATTGTCTTATATTAAATATGAATTGATATTTTCATCTCAATTTAACTGCTTCATATACTGCTGGTGTTTATCCTTTACTTATCTATAGCACTTTGTATAATTACTCCTCATCAGTTAAAGCAGTTTTTGAACACATTCTGTTGAGTGGAGACATCTCTGAGAAGTTAAAGTAAAAAGAAATTAAAAGATGAACAATGTAATAAATCTAAAGGTCTTGAGTTCAGTGGAGGATTTTAAATCTGTTTTAAAAAGTGAAGTTGTTTCCATTAAGACATAAACCGTATATTTTGGTCCTGACTTCCCTTGGTAAGTTTACAGAGCAGCACCTGAATGCACCATCACTGTGTGGGGGTGATTGACAGGTGGGCGTGGCCGTCAGTGATTGGCTGTTTCATGCATCGTGGGGATTCTTCT